TTCTTCAAGAAACTCTTCTTCAAGAATGAAAAACAAAAGAAACTCTTCTTCAAGAATAAAAAACAAAAGCAAAAGTCATGCCGAAAAGGCCCGATGTCTATTTTAAAACCAACCAATAACACACAAAACATCAACGTAAAACACATTAGATTGTAGAAAACGAGGAGGATTCAAAATAGATTATAATACACCTTAACTAACCTCGTAACTTTCACTTGTTACAACTTGTATTACGATGAGTGCACGGATATCAAAAATGTGACTTTAACAAAACTATATACAGATAAAGTCACGGACTCCAAACACTTCAAAATTGCACTAGTTCTCGTAATCCTTTTTCCTTTTGTTACTTCAAGTTGTCACCTCTTTTCCAGCAACCTGCACAAGAAAAAATACAAACAATTTCAAAACTGTTCACCCTCTTTTTATCCTCAGGAAGGATATGAAAAAGCTATTAGTTTATCCTGATACATGAGAAAACTTCAAGCAGGGCATCAGGTTTTTGTAAGGAACGCATAAGGGCTTGCTAGGTGCATAGCAATGAATAGGATGAACATTCCAACTAACAATATATTAGTTTCTTTTTCGTATTTCTGATTGTGAACTACCAAGGAATCCCAGGTCAAGACTGATAAGCTATTGTCTCGGGAGTGACAGGACCAAATCGAAAAATAACTTAGCCCTCAGCTTTTGCCATACATGCACGTGTGTTCTTTGTAAATACAGTTTTTACAAGGTTAAGTATATATGAAATTGTCTTTGGAATATTTCCAAGAATCCTACAATAGCATGAATCTACCTTCAAAGTAAGGGGAAAAAACTATAGGTGTAGTAAAATGAAGCTAATGGTCATAACAGTGGTCACTTCTTGACTATGTTGGATACTGACAATTCTAGAACATTAATGTCTTGTTTGGTAAGGTAAATTGAACTAAACCAGGACGGGTTTAATACCATTCCTCTTCCATCTGTAAATACTTCAAGGAGACTTTGCCTGGAAAATGGAAAAAAAGAAAAAAAAAAAATGGATTCAAGAAGGTTTAGCCCCTGTTTGGCCACATTTTTATCTCATTAAAATGAAAAATATGACCGTTATCCATCACATCAACATTTAAATTCAAATTTTCTATTTCTTGTGTGGGCCCCAATAACGGCTATATTTTTCATTTTCATTCTACAAAAAGGTGGCTCAAACAAGGCCTTAATTACTGAATCGAGTGATGATGTAAGCAACTCCATAATCTCATTACCAAAATTTAATCCTTAAGAAAAATAGTTTAATGAAAGATATCGATTTAATTAATTTGAAATTTAATTAGTTCTACACAACAAGGATAGCTAACGAAAAAGGTATCTCACCTTGTGTTTTCTCTCAGAAGGATGAGAAGAATTAGTTTGAGGCTTACTGAACCTGCACATTAAAATGATAGTTCGGACCAGAAACTTAGAACCTTTATCAAATACACGGTCCAGAAGGCATTTAAATTAGGCGAGCGTTTCACAAAGATAAGAACTGGTGTCAACTGTTTGAACCCACAACTTCCATTCAGATTCATATCATAAAGAAAAGATTTGTGAATTTGTAGGCCAATCCAGATTCGTAAATCAAATGCAATAAGAAATGTTTGAAGTGCATGACACGATAAGAACCTTGTAAGCTTAGCCAAACATGCTACAGAATTGGTGACAATAAATTTTGTGAAATTCAATGCGTACCAACTTCTATGAAAATGCAGAATCTTAGACTTATTTCGCAAATACAACCAAAAGTTCGAGACCAATTCACAATAATAGGTTGGAGACAATGGCACAATTTTTCCAACTAATTAAGTTGAATTTAAGGGCAAAACTTGTATGTTTAGCACTGAATGCAATTAATGGTGTGGAAGAAAGGGAGGGAGGGAGTACGTGCATGGGTTATATTGGCGTGTAACAGAGAAGCCCAAGACCAAGGGTAGAAAAAGACATCTGGCAGTTACAAAGTCAACTCGTGTCTGAATGAATGAGTACTGTAGCAGCAACTACTCACCCTCCTCCCCAGTGCCCCCTACACCTGCATGTGAACTGCCCCCAACCCAACACCCAAGAGCCTTATAAATATGCACCCCTCCCCCACCCAAAATTAGAGGTGGGCACCGGATGGTTCGGTCCAGTACATAAATCAAATTCAATAAGACTGGTTGGAAGGGCATGACTAGAAAAGCACCTCATAAGCTTAGCCAAACATGCTACTGAATTGGTGAAAATAATTTTTGTGAAATTCAATGAGAACCAGCTTCTATAAAAACGCAGAAATTTGTGTACTTCACTACTTCTTTTGAAGTGACAATAAGCCACCAATAATGTAACCATTACAGCAAAATATAACAAAAGAAATGATGATTACAGTACCGATAGGGCCTTTAATTCTCCCATTTGATCTAGGTCCACTGCTGTTGAAATTTTAATCAGGCAGAACATATTCAGAAGTTGGTGACCAATGGACTGTTAAAAAGGAAAATCTTTGTTTCCTAAAACAGTATAGGCAGTATATGTAGTATTCTCATTATCGTACCTGTTTCCTTATTGTATCTGATTTTATTTCTCATTGTAAATTGATTCTCCTAGGAATAGCCAGATAGATAGAATGGGGGGAAACTTTTTCTCCTTTATTAGTTTTATTATGCTGCCTATTTATAGTTCTTTGTACATGTCTAGAATTTATCAATTGAAATGTCAAGCAATTATATCCAACATGGTATCAGAACCTCTCTAGAATTCTAGGGAATTTTCTCATTTGGATTCCCAATGTCTCAACAGAGAAACTTGTGAACATCAAAGAGACTACCATCTAAGCTTTTTCATACAATCATAAACAAGCTGCACATGAAGAATATCTACACGCCAGTTTGAGGGGGAGTGTTAGAAAGAAAAATCTTTATTTCCCGGAATAGTATGTAATTTGTATTTAGTATTTTCATTATTGGACCTGTTTTCCTTGCCTGTTTTATTTTTTAGTTGATTCTCCTAGAAATGGCTGGATAGCTAGCATAAGGTAAATATTTTTCTCTTTATTATTTTTCTTGTACTGCCTATTTATAGCTCCTCATGCATGTTCTGAATTGATGACCGGAAATACTAACCTATTATTTCAAATGTTGGTCAAATAATTACATATAGGGTCTAAGCACATTTTAATCACATTAATGCATTTACCAAATGTGCATTTACTTGACAAAAGCAAAATATATTAGCACAGATGAGGAGAAGTAGAGATCAAAGTAAGAAAGCATTATAATGCCAATAGCATTTCACAAGTATTTAACAATAGTTATTGACCAAAACTGCGTGGCAATATATAAAATATCTACACATCTAATTATACTCTTGTAGGGGATAACTAAACATTTAATTATGTAATAAAAATTCTTGACAATGATAACTAAGCCATACCTTTTTCTTTGTGCGCCTCTTTCTAGAATGAGAGTTTTGAATTGGCAAACATGAAAGACCATATCCCTCCTCTGCGTTTAGCAGAGAACTAGGTCTCCCATCCCTTTTCTTCACAACAAGAACATCCTCACCAACTTTCTTTGTCTCATCTACATCGATCTGCTTGTTGATTTGATCACAATGGTGTAATGCTTTTGTTGAATTTGCATCAAACTTTCGTTTATTCCTCACATCAGATGTGTTCTTGTTCACCTGTGATTTGGATGGTTGGAGTTGACCAACTTCTCCATGACTAGCAGTGGCTGCTTGAAGCTTTACAGCATCCTAGTAGAACCACACAAAACAGAAGGAGGAATATTACATTTACAGATACAATAAACCATCACGTGGGAACCACCTCCTTAAGCTTAAGCGAGATAACACATTTATTTATTATAGTTAAATCTTCACCACAGCCCCTCATATGCAAGATGAATTCATTTTTGTCAAAGGTCTTGCACGTTCACAATTTTCATAAATGAGTAGCAGTATGACTTGAACCACATCATCCAAAATGAGGATAAGAATTCAACAAAAAAAGGTGGGGATATAAGTGCAATAATAAGCAAAGATTGGAGACTTTTAGTACAATTAAAATGTGGTACAACTGAAAATTTTGTGGCGTATAGCCCACCCAAAGGTTAAACCAAATCAACTTGCATTGTTGACCCATACATACTTTTTGATCAGCACATCATAAAAATGAGCATGTATTTCACGTTGTCAAGACAAATAAAATTGCTGGACTCCGTTGATGCTAGAATAGTGCCTACAAGACTCGATACTGTTAGCTACCAAAGCAGCCACCACATGCCCACCACGCCTGGCCACTCTACTAACCTTAGTACTCTTAACATCTCTAATCCCACCATACGGCTTTCCATTAATATTTAAAAACTGCTCTTCTCCGTGTCCAATGTGCTTTAATGAAGACAATAGCGACGCAGACTGTCATAGGTCCCCTCTTGCCGAAACCCCTCAGTATTATCATTTTCTTACAGCACCCAAATGATATACTGAATATCTTCTAGTAAAAGTGATTTCATTACAAACCATCAGAACACCCAGCCTAATCCCTGCTGCCATGGATCCTCTATCGTTAGGGGCTTTCCAATGGCACTTGAAAGATAACATAATGCAGTTTTTTCAGAGGAAAATAGGCAAACTGGGAAAGGTAACCAGCACTGGAACAACAGCCAGTTCTACATCATATCTGAACGTTGTAGTCCATTTTAGAACACTCATCATGTAACCTTTTATCTACTAATAGTGGTCAAATTGGCATATTACCAAATCATTCCTCTATTGCTACAGCTGTAGCTATAGGGATTTTGATTCCGTAAAGACAGTTTTCTTCAACCACAATCTTTTAAAATATTCATCCAAAAGAGGTTAATGATCATGTGAATATAATCTTCAACCAATTGTAAATCCTCCTCTACATCCAAAAGATGCAAGTGCTTACATACCTTTAACAACAAATACTTAATATGAAAATTTTCCCCTATAAGAGAAAACTTGAATGGTAAAGACAATTTCAGCAGTTCTTCCACACTTTAGATAACCATTGGTCACCCTTCATGAGAGCACGGTGGTTTTGGCATCACAAATGGTGTAGATGCAAAAGATTTTTGCAAAAGATTCTTTTGTAAGAAGAGATGCAAAAGATTTTTGCAAAATTCTTGATGCATTGAGGGTGGTGGTGGTGGTGGTTAGGCAGTTGTGTGGCAGGCAGTAGGTCAGGTGGCTTAGGCAGGTTGGAACTTCCCCCCAAGGAAGGAAAGAAGAAATTCTCGAGAGAAGCCAGAGAATTTCCCAGAAAGAGTTTTTGTTCAGTAAGCCATTTTCTACAATTTTTCTGCTACAACATTACCTGCAAGAATTGGTTTATGGGAACAACACGGCCAAATACAAGCCAACACACCAAGGGCCGTGCTTGCAGCCACATGGATAGGACGCAAGTTGTAGGTAGACTTTATTTCAATTCAATCATAACAAGCTAAGCATTCCCAATAAATTTAGGGCTGGCTAAATGATTGATTTTTATCCATTCAATACAGTTAGATAAAAGTCAGAATGATAATCAATCCATACCTTTTTCTCCATACCAGTCTTTTCAGAATGAAATTTTTCAACAGGCAGCCAAGAAAAATCATATCCCTCCTCTACTTTTAGCTTAGAATTGGGTCTCCTATCCCTTTTCTTCACGTAGAGAATATTCGGAGACCCTTGCTTGGTGACATCCAGACTCCTCTGCTGGTTGATCTCATCAAAATATTGCAATATTTTTGATGAATTTGCACTTAAATTCTCCTCATTCCTCTCATGGCCTGTGTCCCTGTTCACAAGTAATTTGGACCGTTCCGATTGACCAACTTCTCCAAGACCAGAAGTAGCTGCTTGAAGCTCTTCAGCATCCTGACAGAACCACACATAACCAAAAGAGGACTGTTTTTGTTACATAAACCTTCAGAACTGATAATTGGAACTAAATAAATAACAATTTATGCACTATTACTTATACATCTGCTACTGTTACAACAATATCCATAATAATGTAGACGTCCAAACGTCGGATAATAGGAATCACTGTTTCCATATCTGGATTCAGATCTAGAAATAAAATTGTAATGTAGAATCACAAATCAGGAATTAAATAAGCATCATTACGAACACTACAACAGTTTTTTTGAGAAAAAACTATTTAAGGAAAACACTCTGGTATAACATGATTATGTAGCCTAAATTGTATAAAAGGTACTTTCATCACCATGTATGAGTTCAAATCCACATCAAAAGTCAACATAAGAGTCGCTAAACTAGAAACAAAAATGAATATGTAAGCAAGTGATGGCAAAACAAAAGTAAGATACAAACATACGGACAAACCAAGATATAACAGTAGTATATGTATCATGAGACTAGATAAATGAAAATAAATTTTTAATGACAACACGAGAAATATTTATCAGAAAACATGAGAAAATTCAAACAACCAATCAACTATACTCGAATATTGTCAGGTTTTGGGCTCATGTCAAAGCACCTGCTCTGGTTTTAGTCCTACACTTATGATGATAGAATCGTGAGTGGAGCAATGCTATGATGATAGCTTAAGTGTGAAGAACAAAATGGATTTGTCAATGAAGCCATCTCCAAGCCTTCACTTGAGGATCCTAACGCTTGAGTTCTGGAAGCAACGTGATTATATGGTGGCTTCCTAGATCGTCAATGTTATTATCCCCTCTGATCTCGGACTATTTGAAATGGATGAAGTACCCGTGTCGACACGACAAGACACAACGTGAGTATGTGTATAGAATATGTGTTGGATCTTCCCAGTTTCAACCGGGAGACTTCGTCATTTTTTTCTTTTTTTTTTTTTCCCTTTTCTTCTTGCCCATTTATGCTCTTTGTAAACCTAACATCGCCGCCGAGAGGGTGGAGGAAGGTTGAGGCAATAGTTTTCCGTTCTTTTTCTCCCTTCTTTTTCTTTCCCTTTTCTTCTTTTTTTTCCCCTTCTTTCCGTTTCAATATCAATGGTTTAGGGTTTTCTTTATATAAAATGAAAATCGGTTCCATATAATGTTACTTGGTATTCCACTAAGTTCAAATTGCAACCAAGTCCCTCATTTTCTATTTGATATAATATTTAATAATTAACTTCTCATAATTGAAAACTAAACCTCAAATTTCTATTTTATTCGTCTTAATCTCTT